ACTTCTTTTGCCTTCAGCGTCTGAAGGCTCTTCCCCTGATAACTTCATGCAAGAAGCTACAAAAAGACAAGCAACCCATTTTGAAGTAGCATAATTTATCTGTGGCCTGTTGTTGGCAGCAAATACCGTATTTTTCACTCTATAAGATGCACCAGACCATAAGACGCACCTAGTTTTTGGAGGAGGAAAACAATAAAAAAAAAATCTGAATCTCAGAAGCCAGAACAGCAAGAGGGATTGCTGCGCAGCGAAAGCAGCGATCCCTCTTCCTGTTCTGGCTTCTGGGATAGCTGCGCAGCCTGCATTCGCTCCATAAGACGCACACACATTTCCCCTTACTTTTTAGGAGGGAAAAAGTGAGTCTTATAGAGCAAAAAATACGGTACATTCATCATCAGTGAGAGGTTACTTTTTGTTCTTATAGAGCAGTGTGGTTCCCTCCAGATGTGGTGGACTACCACTCCCATCAGCCCCAGCCAGCATGGCTGCTGGTGAGGGATGATGTGAGCTGGAGTCCACAACAAAGCAGAAGATTTCTTTGGCTTCCTCTGCTGTAAACCAGCTACACATAGAGACTTTTAGTGTTGCCGCCTTCTCTGATTCCTACAGTGTTGGCGAGGTATATGTGGCAGACCCAGAGCAGAGTAGTGGCTTCTTGTGGCCTATCTTGGCCTTCTAGTCTCTTTGACATCTTCACTCTGTACTAAGCCTGGTCTCGACCATTTAATTACCGTAAACTTTCCCCAGAAACATGCATCTCCCAGTCTCCTTAGATTTGTGTACCCAGGACACGTTTTAATGTCCAGTAAATAAAACATAAAAATAAGTTCTAGAATTCAGAGGAAAGAGTGTGCGCTGCTAAAAGCAGTCTATTGTGTATTAATAGTTCTATTTCATCTCTTATCTAAGAAGATTAATGGCGTCCATAATATTCAAACACTCACAGGCCTGGGATGGAGTTTATAGAGGAACCATTGTATATTTTATGAGGTAATAAAGAAATAATTATGGTGAAACCGTTCGGCTGGTTTGTGTTTTAAGGTTAAAAGAAATGTTCCCAACTTCAATTGATCATTGAAAAATGTGACTTTTACTGTGCAGCTGTGATTTTTTTTTAATTTCTATTCTGGTAGGTTTGTGAAAGGCGTAGCTTTTCCCTTCCTCCTTTCAAAGGTGGGTTTGGTGGTTGTTTGATTGATAATTCTAAAAAAACTGGAAAAAAATATTGTAGTAGAATTTTGGCAGGGCCTCAGTTCACTTTTCAGCAGTTGCTCCCTTATCCCACTACTGCGGCACATTCAGAAGGGTTGCCTGACCTTTGAGAGAAGCATTTGGAGACTGCCAGGTGAGGAAGAGGTACAAATTCACCTTCACCAAAACGTCTTACATTAGTAATTTTCTGGATCCAAACCATATAAATTATTTTCTCTTTCCCTCCCAGTTTCTGGGTTTATGTGAATAAATATAATTTTATTTCAGTAGAATACTGACCTGGTGGTAATTGTGGTAAGTTGGCGTTAAGGTCAGTGAGAACCCCTACCCCCCGAACAAGGGGATTGGAGTGGTTTTACTGAGCTGCTTTGTAATATATCCGAATCATAGGGATGTCTGTCCTTCGTCTAGGACTGAAGGCTACTGACCCAAACCTTTTTGAATAAATTTCAGCTTGCATGAAAACAAACAAACAGTGCCTTCCTGCCTGAAAGCAGAGACTGGGATTTATTAGCAGGGTGACATTTTCAAGGAATTGAGATGTGAAATGCAATTTCAAAGTGCCCATATTCCAGACTGTCCTGGTGGAGAACCGTTACTTGATAAGAGTTGTAAATAGGTTTATGCAGTACATATCAAAAAGAGGTATGGTGGGGTTCTTCTTGCAAGCTTATACAGGCTATTTATTTATTTTATTTAGTGACATTTATGTAGAGCTGCAGCCAGTACTAGGTCAGTTTTCATTTCTCGGTACAGAAAGTATTGCTCTGATGTGTAGAGATCTTTCCTATTCTGATTAGTTCAATACTAGTCCTACTCGGAGTAGACCCACTGAAATTCATGTAGGCGCCAGGCAAAAACGTTCCTTTTTAACCAGGCCTTTGGTTGACCTGATCAACATCCCATACCCTTTTAAAATGTGGCTCTTTTTTGGGGGGGGTATTATTGGGTTAATGCTTTTATATTTATTTTACACACTATTATATTTTTATGTGAACCGCCCTGAGACCTCCGGGCATAGGGTGGTATATATTCAATCAATCAATCAATCAATCAATCAATAAAATAAATTTGCATGATTAATGGAGCAGACCAAAGAACAATTTAGTCCAGCCTCTTGTTCCCCACGGTGGCCAGCCAGATGTCCAGGGAGCCCCTGAACAGAGCATGGCACCACAGCCCTCTCCCAACTGTTGTTTTCCAGCAATCATGTATGCCGTTCATGATTGATTAATTGCCTGCTTTGTTTTGTTATCATGTGAAGTGCATGGTCTTTTGCTATGGGGAGTTCCAGGAGCCTTGTCATCTTAGATTGAGAAACATTAAAAGGTTGGGCAAACCTGTGCGAACTTATTGACTGCTTTCTTCCGTTGCCCCCTTTGGCCATTGTGTGGTGTGATTGCCCATGAAAACTCATTGGATCAAGTTGACACAAAGTGAAAACAAGGGTTAGGATTCATCTAAGTGACCAGAAGTGATTTTCAGACCTCCAAAGATAAATACAGGAGGTAGGAGTCTTTCCCCAATCCTCTTAAGTTTTTGACATCTGCTGTGCCCATCTCTTCTTTTACTTGTGCTAAAGTCTAAAATTATATAAATTACAGTGGTATCTCGGGTTAAGAACTTAATTCATTCTGGAGGTCCGTTCTTAACCTAAAACTGTTCTTAATCTGAGACACCACTTTAGCTAATGGGGCCTCCCGCTGCCACCGTGCCACCACCGCGCGATTTCTGTTCTCATCCTGAAGCAAAGTTCTTAACCCGAGGTACTATTTCTGGGTTAGCAGAGTTTGTAACCTGAAGCATCTGTAACCTGAAGCGTATGTAACCTGAGGTACCACTGTATGTGTATCTGAAGAAGTGTGCATGCACACAAAAGCTTATACCCAGAACAAACTTAGTTGGTCTCTAAGGTGTTACTGGACAATTTGTTTTATTTATTTCGACTGCGTCAGGCCAACACGGCTACCTACCTGAATCTAAAATATGCCAACCTACTTGTTTCCAGATGTTACAGTGAACCCATGGTGTTCCATTATTCACATTGTTGTGACCTACCCTAGGACTTTCTAGTGAAGGGTGGGCAATAATAAATAAATAAATAGCCAGCCTCTTGGGTCTAATTATGTGGCATAGTTGCACCCAATATATGACCACTAGATGTCACCACTTGGCTTATTGAAGTTATCAAAAGAATGAGTATTATAACTTCAGTAGCAATATTTTTGTCCTCTTTTTGTGTTACATTTTTGCTTTTTGGTTCTTCTGCATGATATACATGCAGGACTGCCTGCTGAGGGCCTGAAGGGCCCTGCCCTCGCCTCTTTCCACCTGGTTTGGGGCGGGGCTTGACAGACTTCACAAGGACTGCGGCTGCTGCTTAGTAGAGAGGGCTCCTCTTTTAAATTGTTTTTAATTTTTATCTGTGTTGTTTTAAATGAGACCATCTTGGCTGTGAACCCACGGAAGACCTGCACTCTCCCTTGCTGGCCTTTTCCCATCTGGCCTGGGAGAATGGGGTGCTGACTGACTCCAGCTACAAAAGCTGAGGCTGTTGAACAGATTCTTGGACTGGAGTATTGTTTATGGGGGGTTGAGAGAGCAGTTGCTGTTATTGATATTATTGTTGTATCTTTAGTTTTAGATCTTATGATTTATGTGGAAATTGTTTCCATTTGGTTGCGTACTTTTTGATGTGTTCTATTTATTGTTTATGACTTCTGTTATGTTTGTAATTATGTAAATATTGTCGTGTTGTAAGCCGCCTTGAGCATAGTTTCAACCATGGGAAGGCGGCATACAAAAAAAATTATGATGACGACAACGACGATGATACATAGCTGGAATGAACATAGATGTGTCACCGGGAACCATTATTCATTATCATCATCATCATAATCGCAAGAGTGGTGCATGTTCTGGTTATCTCCCTCTTGGACTACTGCAATGCGCTCTACGTGGGGCTACCTTTGAAGGTGACCTGGAAACTGCAATTAATCCAAAATGCGGCAGCTAGACTGGTGACTGGGAGCGGCTGCCGAGACCACAAAACACCAGTCTTCAAATAGCTATACTGGCTCCCAGTATGTTTCCAAGCACAATTATCCACATGCAGCTACTGGGTGACCTTGGGCTATTCACACTTCTTTGAAGTCTCTCAGCCCCACTCACCTCACAGAGTGTTTGTTGTTGGGGAGGAAGGGAAAGGAGAATGTTAGCCGCTTTGAGACTCCTTCGGGTAGTGATAAAGCGGGATATCAAATCCAATTCAAAGTGTTGTTGCTGACCTTTAAAGCCCTAAATGGCCTTGGCTCAGTATACCTGAAGGAGCGTCTCCACCCTCATCGTTCAGCCCAGACACTGAGGTCCAGCGCCAAGGGTCTTCTGGCGGTTCCCTCGCTGCGAGAAGCGAAGTTTCAGGGAACCAGGCAGAGGGCCTTCTCGGTAGTGGTGCCCGCCCTGTGGAACGCCCTCCCATCAGATGTCAAAGAAATAAACAGCTATATGACATTTAGAAGACATCTGAAGGCAGCCCTGTTTAGGGAGGTTTTAAAGGGCTGATGTTTTAATGTATTTTTAACCTTCCATTGGAAGCCGCCCAGAGTGGCGGGGGAAACCCAGCCAGATGGGCGGGGTATAAATAGTAATTATTATTCTTATTATTCTTATTATATTTATTAAATTTCTATACTACCCTTCATCTGAGGATCACAGGGCGGTTTACAATATAAAAACACAAAAATACATAGCATAGTAATACACTGACATAGTGCTGTGTTTACTCCTAGACAGCGGCTGTTCCAGGCAGTCTTAGATCCTGCAGCACTTTCTTCTCCAAAGCTGCTTACCAAGAAGGCTTCTGACCAAGTCCATCTTTTGAGTTCCTTGGGTGGTCTTGTTTTAAAACATGAACAGCAATCTGCTGATACCTTTATATTCAAAGAGACCATTCCAGCCCGTAGAAAGCACTTAAACCCATCTGAAAAGGAAAGTAAACAGATCAAAATGGAGCAGGAGGCGATCCCATGTGGCTCTCAAGAGGACCAAGAGACTCTTCACACAGAAGCAGCAGGCACCAGAAACCCTGAAACTCCTTCCACATCTGCAATAAAAGTTATCCCAAAAGGTAAGTTTTTGGTTTTGTTCTATCGTTATTTTTTCTGTATGCACCAAGGTTCCACATTGATTTTTCATCTGTACTCAGATGGGTCTTTCGGGGTGGGATTATTAAGGAGTTTAAGTTTTTGGTTCAATCACGAGTTTACTGAAACATTGACTCCAGTGAAATGTAAGGTTCATATTCATTTATTAAGTTGGTTTCACAAACTGCTTTGCTTCTCTGATTCTGAAACAATCCCTGTGCATTCTTTATGGCACCTTAAATAGAAATGTGTGCAAAGTGACCTCCTGTCCTAATGGTTTAGCTTCCTGCTGGGTTCATGCACGCCCCTTCTTCCTCTCCTCTCCTGTTGTCTGACTGTAAAGAGGAGATTGGAAGTGTGCATTCCCTTTAAAAATTAACCATAGTTTAGCATTTTGTTGAAACCCTAAATTGTGGTTAATCTTAGTGTTAGTGGACACCAGGCAACTTCAGAAACTATGGCTTGCACTTTCCTTGTTTCAGCTTACCTTGGTTAAGAGTAACCACAGTTTGTCTGGGTAGAGATGATAGGGCAAGTTATGGTTTATGTTAAAAATCTGGAGCAGAAGTAGAAGTTTCTGAACTCATTCTTGTGGCCATTCTTGAGGAACAAGTCTGGGGAAAGGTTAGGTTCATTCTTGTAATGTTAAGTATAGTTTACCATAGTAAACCAGCCCATAGTTCATTTATCATGCTACAGTGGCCCAAAAAATGAATCTGGTGCACTCAGCCATAACTATGCCTTCTGCAACAGTCAACTAGTATCAGCTAGTGTGGCACTGAATCCTAAACAACAATCTTCTTGATGATGCAGCACGTATGTGGTTTAAATAGTGCTCAGCCATCTGATGGAAAGGTATTCCTATTAACACAGAAAATGTTAAATATATTAAGAGAAGATAGAGTTGTGTAATAGAATGGTTTCTACTGTGTTTAAATTCTTGCTCAGTGTAACATCCTGTTTCTTTTTGGGTCTTTAAAAAAAGGCAGTAAGATGCCCATGAGGTGATAATGTTAAAAGGATTCTGCTGTAGTTTTTTTCAGTTGAACAGTTTTCGGTTTAAAAATGGACTTTGATAGAATCCCTAGTCAAGTGGTGCTTTGCAGTTGAGGCCTCCTTAATTCCAAAAGAAGTGGAAAATTCAGAGGTTATGTTTTTAAATTGCCAGTAATAAAGCCTTTACATTCATGATATACCACTGTTGTTCTTGCATATTTTGATGGGCATTTTTTTTGGCTGCCTTAATATGAAAGGGGAAAGAGTGCAAACTTTCTAACTCTGTCTTGTGAATTGAGTCATAAATGTGAAATGCAACGATATCCTTTGTACGCTACCTTATATCATCTATAATTATCTTTGCTAATTTATATGTTATTTGAAATACAGAGTGGGAACCCAGTTGGCCTAGAAACAAAACAATATTGCTTAGATGAATTTGGCATTCCTGATTTCTTTTCCCCCCAGTGTTATTTATAGAAGCGTCAGAACACATTTTAATAATTGACATTTCAAGAAATGCTACATTAGTAAGTGACGTCCCAGTCTCTATGCCCATGAAAAATAAACTTTACTCCCTGCTCCCAAATTCCAGTTCAATTATTCCAGTTGGAATAATTCCAATTATTATATAGGAATAATTACTGTGTTTTAAGGATATTGTGTTTCTAATGGTGTTTATCATTTTATGTTGGAAACCACACAGAGAATAGTGCTTTTGGATGGCTTTATATAAAAACAGCAAGTAAATAAATAAAATATTCCCCTTCCCTGTCTGAAGCATAAGGAAAATAAATGCAGTACTATATTCCATTTTTTATTTTCTGTCCTCTGGCTTTGTACTACTCTATTTTGCCTTCCCCCTTTATGTCTCCGAGACATACTCTGGACCTTTTAAAGCTTTGACTTACCGTGGAATAGCTGAGCTGAATATCTGTATACAATTAATTTGTTGCATAAGTTGCCTTATAAAAATGTTCTCTAGGTGACATAACACAGATAAATAAATAGACAAAATTAAAGCATGACACAGCAACTCAATAAAGCCATAAATCAATAACGCCAAACCAGCGGTAGGACAATAAAATCCAGCCATAAAATCCAACATTGCCCTGCTCCACGTGCTAAAGGGAGCCTGAGATGACAAAACAAGAAAGGCAGTTAAGCAGATTTGCAAGGAGAGGGTAGGTAGCACCCATTTATTTAATTAAAACAGTTCAGAATAATAAGGATCCAGTGTAAGATCATTGTATGCTAGGAGCCAGATCCTGAAAGTACTCATAACTCAAGAGCTACATTCTAGGAGTAGGAGGCCTGTAGATACCTGTGCCAACTCTGTGGGGAAGCTGGAGGGGCCACAGTAAACTAGGCTAAAAGCTTCCATTTTGGAGAAGGGATAAAAAGGAGGAAACTCCACCATATATAGTTCTACAAAACATAGATCTTGCTAGTGGGAGAATCAGCTTAGTTTTAAAAAGGGTGGGTTTAGCCTTCTTTAAAAACACCCCTCACCCTTCATAAGCTTTGTTCCCCTATATTATAAATGTTAGACTGTTGTTGTGGGTGAAAATAAGGTGCAGCTGAAAACCTGCAGCTGTCAGTGCAAGTTAAAGCCAGGTAAAATTTAGTCAGGTCTATCAAAGCTAGAGTGCAAGGTACAACTGAAAACTACACAATAACTTGCACTTTTAAAAATGTGTTGCTACCAGGATTTATTTATTTTTTTAAAAATAAACACTCCTTTCTTTGACGTATAGAAAAGCCAAGCTCTCAAAGTAACTGAAACTACAAAAAGCAATTATGCAGGTAGAAAGCTGAAAAGGGTGTGTTGGAGAGAAATCATGGGTGTGCATGAGCAAGAAGCTCCAGGAACAGGTTTCTTCCCTTGAGACTGACGTGTCGGGCTTGGAAAAGCTAAGGAAGGCAGAGAGGTTGGTGGGTGATAGCTGTGTCCCACTCCCACAGTGGCAGCTCCCCAGCTGTCATGGAGAATAAGGGTCTCTGGGTTGGAGAACATAATTCTGAGGAAGAGGGAAACATTCCCTTCAAATTCCTTGGGGGACAAACAAATATCTTCTCATGCTGAGTATCCTTCTCTGGGGTTGTGGAGGAGGGATCCTTTGTCTTGTGAAAAATATTGGCAAGGCCATGTTTGTACACACAAGACAACACTATCCAACCTTTGGGAGTAACTTAATGTCCAATGGCTTTGAGTAAAATAGGCTGTGTCCCCTGCAGGGGCCAGGTGGGTCAGGTTTTAGTAGGACTTTGAAGTCTTCACCTAAGAATCATGCCTGTGATGGACCACATTCCTGTTCCACATTGGCAGAAATATTAAGATCCCAAACACAGAGAATATGGGTTTGGAATCCAAAGTGGTTGTGTGTATGGCTAAGGAAGTTGTAGGGGAAAGTGGTGATTAAGAGAAGAATGATCTCTTTCCATGTCTTCTGATGCTTTGCTTCAAATAGCTCCTTCTGATGCTGCTTTAAAGAGAAAGTAATTCTTTGGATTTTAGGATGTGAATTACCGTATTTTTTGCTCTATAAGACTCACTTTTTCCCTCCTAAAAAGTAAGGGGAAATGTGTGTGCGTCTTATGGAGCGAATGCAGGCTGCACAACTATCCCAGAGGCCAGAACAGCAAAAGGGATTGCTGCTTTCACTGCGCAGCGATCCCTCTTGCTGTTCTGGCTTCTGAGATTCAGAATATATTTTTTCTTGTTTTCCTCCTCCAAAAACTAGGTGCGTCTTGTGGTCTGGTGCGTCTTATAGAGCGAAAAATACGGTAATATGCACTTTTGACTTCAATTTTCTGCTGGAGAACGGAGCTTCCATTTTTTCCAGGCTGGCAGGAAATGTTCTGCAGCCCTGGACCACTGGGCTGTGTCATTTGGGGTAAATGCAGTCATATTTGGGAAAATCTGGACGACGATGCATTGCTGGTGCCACTAAATTTGCTAGAGGAAAGACATGTTTCTATATAGAAAGTCGCTGGTGAGGTCTATACTTGTATTTTTGTGGAAGCAAGCTCCATTTGGAATAGGTAATGAAATGGTGTTCATATATTAGCAACGCCTCCACCCCAAAATCTGCATTTTGCTTTGCACATAAACACCAATGCTTTCCCTCCTCCCTTATGAAAATCAATGGTTTTCTTCAGTTGGCAAGCATTCTTTAGGAATGTCCATGTTAACATGAATGCTTTCAAATGTTTCAGTGGAGTGCCCTGTCTGCGGGGTTCCTGTTCAAGAACTTCATATAAATAAACACCTTGATGGCTGCTTGAGAAGAGATGAGAAGAAAGACAGTCTCCGAAGGTAAGATACTTGAGTGAGCTGCCCATGCTTGCTGCAAGGAGATGCCATTATGTACCAGATTGTGCCAAGCTTTTTTGTTTGCTTGTGAACAAATGATATTAATAAGCACCACCCAAATGGGGGAAAATGCTACTATCAACAACAAAACTCCAGGTGTTCAATTTATTCAAAGTCATTGGATTTATTGAATAAAGGGGAACATCTGTCCTGCACAGTTGTCTGGAAACAAGCTGAACCAGTCTTGCTGCCTTAGTATCAATATTTGGGTCTTTGTCACTTTCTTAGCCAGACTTAAAGCAAGCACCCACTGACTTCCTTTGAATCCTTCATAGACGGTATTGTATTGTTAGCTAAAGGCATTTATGTTTATTTATAATATCATTCAGGTACCACTTTTGGATGACAGCCCAGCCTGGGTACAGGCATATAAAAAATAGCATAGCTGAATCTTTGGAAGAAAGATGATTGGCGTCATGTCTGGACCTCTTCCTCTAGCTTGTCAATCAACACAAATAAGAAGGAGGCACAGTGCAAAATTCTCAGTAGGTGGAGCACTACCCTTGCAAGACCTCACTGGCTATATCCAAATTATAGTTATACTTACTGGAAAAGGCATAGGCAGATTGATTCATCCTCCCCCGCTCCTCACTTTGGAACTATCCAACAGTGTGGATGTTCTGCAGTGTGATTCCTGATTACTTCCAGGAATTTCTGCACATCATTATTATTAGATCACTGCAGGTAACTTTTTAAAGCCATGCTTCTGAATCTAATGACGCTGGGTCCATGCATCAAGACCTAATGAAGCAATTATATAGACCAGCAAAGTCTATAGAAGATTCTCATATAGTCTTCTAAACAGCCATGGATTGACAAAATTCGAATGCTTTGGAGACTGATTATGTACAAACTTGCTCAGCAAGTACAACAAACCAGAAAGCTTTATTTTGAAGAAAAGATGTTAGGGTGCTATGGATTCCAGTTGTTTGCTATGTTAGAAGCCCTTCAAGCTTCTGATCACATCCAATCAAGTACAGACACACATTTTCTTTTTTACTATGATTATATCCAATCTATCTCAGTAGTCTGTGAGCTTCTCCTTAGGGTGTTTCCCTCTAATTGTTCCACAAGCTTACCCATGAGGTACTAATGATTGCCATACCAGTGAGTTTGCTTTTGCTCTTAAAGATCGGTGATCTTGTTGCATTGCATTGGACACAGAAAAACGCTTTCTAGCCATGTATTTTAATCCCTTCTCCCTGTTTTCTCTCATGAAGGCACACACAAAGCCAGGATAGTGAGTGAACGGACAAGTTTAAATGCAGTGATTATGTTTAACCATTTAAAACAACAACAACAAGAAGAAGCATAGTGTGTGATACATTATTTGCACAATACAAATGTGGGTAGAGGACAGCCTTAGTTGATTTCATTAGTAGGAAACTAATGTCATTAGTAGGAAAGTAACATCTCTAATTGATCCCAGTAGATCATATATAAAGTCTTGTGTAGATGACAGAATCCTACAACCACCTTGAATAAAAGAATCATGAATGGAGTTCATTTGTGAATAGGGTAGAATGGTTTATTCTGCATTACTGTATGAAATAGCAATAGCACAAACAGGGTGAATGATGTCAAAGATTTTTTATTTTTTTAAAGAGATGAAACGCGTGAGTTGCCTGTGGAGCTGAGCTTGTTGCTAGGGAACGTTATTGGTGGCATTTGTCGCAAATTGTTTTGAATGCCTGTGGCAGGACAGTGATTCATATGTGTTAGAAATAATAAATAAACAAGAAGGGATTAGATAAGTTTGTGGAGTACAAGAGGCGCTGGTGCCAAATTAGTCAAGTTAGTTAGGAAATGCAGTTGCGTGTACCCATTGACTATATCTGTGACTGCTAGAAATAGAGAGGCGTGATTGCAGAGATGGGCCTCTTCATTATCGTCTGTTTTCCCACTTAGGAATATAGAATTCACTTCCAGTGAAACAGAATATCATGCTTGATGGGAATGCAATGGGGTCTAACAAGCTTAAGATATATACACTGCCTTTTTCTTTAAGGAGTTCTTCATAACTATGTAAGGCAGACTCCAGCTTTTTAAGGCCTCAGTTACACAAAGACTATTGGTTTTCTATTGTGTCTCAGAGATCACAATGTACATTCAAATGGACCAAGGTCACCCAGTGAGTTTCATGACTGAGTAGGGATTTGAACCCTGGTCCCCCGGCTCCTAGAAAGGCACTGTGACCACTGCACCACACTGGCCCACTGGGAGGACGACCACCTGCAACTTTTTCCAGTTTGCTGACCCTCGAAATGTTTGGCTTACCCATTTACTATGGGATGCACATGCAGGTTGCACTGTAGCTGTGGTTATGAGCTCCACAACTATGGCAAAGCTCTACATACCTCTCTCCATGCCACCCTCAAATGCATAATGGTGATTTAGAACACAGGAAAAGGAAGTCTTGTTAACAGGGTGCTGTCCTTTCTAAAGTGGTAGGCCTATGCAGGCTTTCAGTATCATGAGTATTGAATGTGTCAAATGAGCTATAGGTGTGTCCCCAGTCAACCCATGATGACCTTCGATGCACATAGCATTTTCAGCCTAGGGATGATTAACCAGGGTTCTTGTCCTCATGTTGGAAACCCTATACATGGTGACCTTGGGCCAGTCACTCACTCTTGGCCTAAGCTTCAAACTAATGCAGATAAAGGTTTGGCTCCAGGTATGACCAGCAACAGATCCTGAAGCTGAGGCTCCAATACTTTGGCCACCTCATGAGAAGAGAAGACACCCTGGAAAAGACCCTGATGTTGGGAAAGATTGAGGGCACAAGGAGAAGGGGACGACAGAGGACGAGATGGTTGGACAGTGTTCTCAAAGCTACAAACATGAGTTTGACGAAACTGCGGGAGGCAGTGGAAAACAGGAGTGCCCGGTGTGCTCTGGTCCATGGGGTCACGAAGAGTCGGACATGATTAAACGACTAAACAACAACAACATGACCAGCAAATTTATTTCATTATGAGGAGGGGTAGCCCCATCTGTCCCCTTCACCTGTTTGGAACAAAGTGCCTAAATAGGGCTCATGTTGACTTGTGATCCAAACTATAGGGACACAATGGCTGTGTTTAGATGATAAGTTCAACAGCCGAGATAGGAACGGGTGCCCGTGCACAGCTTCTTTGAGTGAGCAAACAGATTACAAAGTCTTCCATTAACTATAGTTTCCTGTTTTGTTTGAACTGGGAAACTATGGCTAACAGGTTTGGAAACAAGCCAGGATATGAAGCTATGGTTCAAAGATTGCTTAAAACCATAACTTGTTCTAAAGACATTAACTGTAGTGTCCTGGTTTCATGAAGCAAGAAACTAATAGTTAAAGATTTCCTGGCTTATTTTTCCACATCACATGAAGGGGCTGCATTGCACACTCACTGAGCAGTAGTTGTGCTGTCGGTTCTGATATAAATTTATTGAACCAACTTCTCCAGCCCTGATTTCAAACTTTGATCTAATTCTTAGTGGAATAGTAGGAAATATGAGCATGGCTAATCTGCCATTAATTTTGTTTTGCAAATGATGCACTGGGATTTTGAAATTTCTGTATTTGCTCAGTAGTTAATTCTTTCCCTTGTGCTCTCTCTAGTTCAAATGTGTGCTTTCATTACTAAAAGTTCATAGTGACTGAATGCAAAATACCTCCGACCATAACGCACTGAGAATGGACATGACATTGATCCCAACCGGTTCCTTCAGATGGAAGATGAATGATGGCCTGTTTAGAGATCAAGAGATTGCCAAGAAGGCCCAAAAAACTCTAAAGGACTATTTTGAGATCAACATGAACACTACGGTGGAAAAAAGAACTATCTGGGACGCAAGCAAGGCTGTGATGAGGGGGTTCTTGATACAACAGAATACCATAAAGAAAAGGAAACAAAATGAAAGGAAGGACAAAATTCTGGAAAGAATTAAAGAGTTAGAGAAGAAGCTGAGATCTAATCCGAAGTCTCAGCCGATCCTGCGAGAAATTAAACTTCATCAAGCGCAATATTCCAAACTGATAAACCAGGAAATAGAATGGAAGATTAAAACAATGAAACAAAAAACTTTTGAATCGGCTAATAAATGTGGAAAACTGCTAGCTTGGCAGTTGAAGAGGAGACAAAAATTAAATACAATAACAAATTTAGAGATTGAAGGAAGAAGTATTCAGAACCCCGGAGAGATTAGAAAGTGTTTCCAGAGATATTTCAAAAAATTATATACTCAAGGGCCACAAGATGAAACTGAGATGAAACGATTTTTGGAGAAAAATGGACTAACAAAGCTGTCAGAAGAAAACAGAACAATCCTGAATGGCAAAATAACACGACAAGAGATTGAGCAGACCATCCAGAACATGAAACAGGGCAAATCGCCAGGGCCAGATGGGTTGACCTCCAAATATTATAAGATACTGAAAGACTACCTGATACAACCACTGATGGAGGTCAGCAATGAAATTATAGAGGGGAAGAAGGCACCGGAATCGTGGAAGGAAGCTTTTATCACACTGATACCAAAGTCGGAAACTGAAAAGACACAACTTAAGAACTACCGTCCCATCTCCCTTTTAAATGTGGATTACAAAATATTTGCAGATGTTTTGGCAAGTAGATTCAAGAAAGTTTTAAACGAAGTAATTCATAAAGACCAGGCAGGCTTTCTCCCAGGTAGACATATGTCTGCTAATACAAGGAACATTATAGACATATTGGAACTTTTGCAAACAGACATAAATACTAAAGCAGTTTTAATTTTTATAGATGCGGAGAAGGCCTTTGACAACATATCCTGGAAGTTTATGAAGGGGAATTTAAAGGAAATGGGAGTGGGTCTGGGGTTCGAGAATGGGATTGATGCAATATATTCAGAACAAAAGGCCAAATTGATAGTTAACAATGTGGTTACAGAAGAGTTTAAAATTGAAAAAGGTACACGACAAG